ATGCTAAAAGGTAGATAGTGACTATCCTGCAGTTTTTTTTTTGTAGGTGGTGGGTAAGTATTTAGGTAAGTTGGGTGATTCTTAGGTCTAGGCGTGGTGTGTATGTGTGTGTGTTCGATATGCTAATTCTGTAATTTTGTAAAGGTTTCTTTTTTTGGCCCATTCTTATTTTCTCATTTCGTGTTTTTTTTCATAAAATATAGTTAGCTATTTGGGGGGTGGAGTTTGGAGGCTTATATATGTATTTCTCTAAATTACAAATTAGTTTCTAAACTTATTTCCCTATACATGATTTGGACTATATCTAGTTTAAATTTAAAATTATTTTTTTAAATAAAATTTAGTTTCCAGTTTTTGGTAAAGTTTTTTAAAGCTAAAGTTGATTTTCTTTAGTTTTAAAACAAATTAAAGCTTTTTTGCCAAGTTTTGTTTATTTTTGTTTTTAAGTTTTTTTATTGGTAAGATTTGTAGATTGTTGTAAGTTTGGTTGTTGTTGCTGTTTTTTTGTTTTCTTACGAAAATTCAAACACCGAAACATTTATTTAAAATTCATTGGAAAATAGAAATTGGAAGGAACTTTGAAGAGTTGATTTTTTTAAACATAAGTCTTGTTTAGATTCGAAGAGGTTTTGAAGTTGTTACAGAAATGGAAACTTTTTTTTTAGAAGTAAAAATTACTATTTTGTAAAAATTTATATGTTTTATAAAAATAATTGACATTTATTATTTCATTAATAAAAAAAATCCATTTACATTTAATTGTATCGATAATATAAACAAATAATATTATTTATATTCCAATATTTAATACATTGAGATATGGGATCGAAAAATATATATAGTCTGAGCATTGCATTCCAAAAAGGAATGAAACATATAAGGTGGCGAAACATAAGCAGCTTGGAATCGTAGCATACATGACATATTAAAGTCAAGTTATAAGTGAAAACAAGGCCAGGGGCTGGATTCTTGTTCTATAAAAAATTGAAATAAAAAGTAGAAAAGTAACAGTCGGTTCTGACGACAGATCTATATCCTCAGCCAATGTTGGATTATTTAAAAATATTTTGATTTCTGTTATGATTATTCAGATTTTTGACCCTCTAGGCGTAGGTTCCGAAGAAATGGGCAAATATTGTTCATTTCGTATCGGACCGAAATAAATGTGATATAAATATTGCGACGTGTCAGGTTTGGATTATATTGATCACCTCCTACCCTTTATATGAGAAATGTGATAATTTTCACAAAATGTTAAAAGTGTGCGCGAGGTACCACATATAGTCGAAGGAAGTATTCCATTTTCATACCTCATCGAATACAGATAAAAATATTGGTATGGGCAAAATTATAAGAAAAACGAACATTTTTATCCAATTTTATGCGGAACCATAAATTCCATATTCATTTCAGCTTCCTGGTTGAGAGAAATATGTTGATATTACAACTTGTAAAGAATCCCCGACTTATTTCGCAAGTTATGACAGATAAAAGTATTGACAATTTTGACTCTTTGCGGTTTGCGGAAAAACGAACATTTTTATCCAATTTTATGCGGAACCATAAATTCCATATTCATTTCAGCTTCCTGGTTGAGAGAAATATGTTGATATTACAACTTGTAAAGAATCCCCGACTTATTTCGCAAGTTATGACAGATAAAAGTATTGACAATTTTGACTCTTTGCGGTTTGGGTACCAAAAGTGGTTCGCAGATATATATAACCTTCACTGCAGATCCTGCGTTAGAAATATATTTGCATGTGTGAAATTTTAGGAGATTTGGATGTGTATTTCACTTTTTTTGAGCTTTTTGCTTTTCAAAATCTTGAACCAGAACCTTACCAGAAGAAATGGTCCGATCTATTCTATGTTTATAACAGATCTTGTGTTGATAGAAATATTGAAATTTACCATGTCTGAATGGAATCGACGGTAATTCCGCGTTTTATGAGTTTCATGGATTCTCAAAATTTTGACCCTTTGTAGGGGAGGTTCCAGAAGGAGTATTCCATCTTCACACCAGACATTGGGCTTATAAAAATATTGTGATGTGTGGAATTTGAAGAGAACAGGATGCCTTTTCGGATTATATAATCGTTTTGGTTATTCAAAACATTGACCTTTTGTAGGTGAGCTACCAGAAGGAATGGTCCGATCTCTGCCATATTTATAACAGATCTGGTGTTGATGGAAATATTGAGATGTACCAAGTCTGAATGGAATCGGATGATAGTTTTGCGGTTCATGAGCTACATGAATTTTCAAAATTTTGACCCTTTGTGGGGGTGGCACCATAAGGAGTGAACCTATATATTCCATCTTCACACCAGACCTTGGGTTAATAAAAATATTGTGATGTGTGTAATTTGAAAAGAGCCGGATGCTTATTTCGGATTTTATGATCGTTTTGGTTATTCAAAACTTTGACCCTTGGGTATGTACCAGAAGGAATGGTCCGATCTCTTCCATATTTTTAACAGATCTTGTGATGATGGTGTTATATCTGAATGAAATCGGATGTTAATTTCGCGTTTTATGAGCTTCATGGATACTCAAAATTTTGACCCTTTGTGGGGGAGGTCATAGAAGAAATGGTCTAACCTCTACCATATTTTTAACAGATCTTGTGTTGGTGGAAATATTGAGATGTACATAGTATGGAATGGAATCGGATGTTAATTTCGCGATTTATTAGCCTCATGAAAATTCAACATTTAAATCCTTTGTGGGGGAGGTACCAGAAGGAGTGTACCGATATATTCTATTTTCACACCAGACCATGGCTTAATGAAAATATTGTGATGTGTGTAATTTAAAGAAAACCGGATGCTTACTTCGGTGTTTATGATCGTTTTTGTTATTCAAAACTTTGACCCTGTGTGGGGGAGTTATCAAAAGGAATGGTCCGATCTCTACCATCTTTATAACAGATCTTGTGTTGATGAAAATATTGAAATGTACCAAGTCTGGAATGGAATCGGATGTTTATTTCGCGATTTATGAGCCTTATGAAATCTGAACATTTTGATCCTTTGTGGAGAAGGTACCAGAAGGAGTGGACTGATATATTCCATATACACACCAGACCTTGCGTTAATAAAAATACTGGGATGTGTGTAAAAGTTGAAGCGAAATCGTATTTTCTCTTTCTGCGCAGTAAATTATTTTCTTTGAAAATGCAGACATTTTGTGGGGGAGGTACCAGAAGGAGTAGACCGATATTGCCTATTTCCGAACTCTATTGAAGTTTGATAATAATATTACGATGTACCAAGTTTGGACTAAATCGGATACTCTCTTCGAGAGTTATCGTGCACACCAGACTGTCAGACAGACATAGGGAAGGACGGACGGACGGAAACCCCTAGATCGATTCCAAATGTCCTGAAACGGATTTGGTCCACATAGACCTAGGGTGTAAAACCGTTATTTCGATGAGGCGCGTTTTGGCCGTATCAAGTGATATATACCGTCTCTAGTCATATGGCTGAGGGTATAATGAGGGGAGTATTTGCGTGCGGCTCGAAAATCCCTTTATAAAAAGTCATGTCCTGCCATAATGCCAAGCGGTTTTATGTTTCCCCACATTTATTCCAAATATTAAAAAATATTTGAAAATTAGCTTGATCAAAAAACTCAGTTTTTTTTGAACCCAAAATATTTTCGAACTTTTCCTGATTTTAAAATGATTTGAACTCAACTAAATTTGCGTTTGATTCAAACAATTTGGAGTTTGAACCAGATCACATATTTGCTCGTCTTCACTCGGGAGTGAAAATTGCTCGAGAGCAGAATTGCTTGAAGGGTGGGAGCCTTATACGGATTTTACTCTTCATTTTGATGCTTTGTGAGGGAGCGCTCCCAAGCTACTCCTGTTTGAAAAATTAGGGTGGTAGCCTAATCGCTCGAAATAGAATGAGAGTTTGCCCTAAGAATGAAATCGAGTGGAAAAATAATATTTTGTTTCAGAATTTGAGTATACTTATGGGTGACATGGCTAACTGGTTTTAATGTTGCCCTGGATTGTGGCAGAATGGGGTGATCGTGTACAAAATCAAAGAAGGGAAAATAAGCCGTGGCATTTGTGTACAAAAGCAAAAATGCCATCATATGCTTTGTTGGTATAGTTTGGTTCTGTTTCGTTTCCTGATCTGGTCTGAGAAAATACTCATTTATTGAAACACAACAACGGTATGACAATTTTAAAAAAGTGCTCGGCACGAATTTTTCTCCCACTCTAAAATGAACAAGGTGTGTTCGCCTTTGTTCTGTTCCAAAAAAATTGATTTTGCTCGTTTGGCTTTTCTACTCCCAGGAGTGCTTCCTCTCGACTTCGAGTGAATTTTACTGTTTACTCAAATTCGAGTGAATGTTTAGGAGGTCTGTTTGAGTAGAACATCATGTTATTAAAATATGGCTTGATCAACACTTTTAACTGTTTGGAATTAACCAGTTGCAGTTTGACTCAATCCTTTTGAGATGTGGTTGAAACTAAACCTCGATGGCTTTGAAATCGTAGTTTCAATTAGAGAGAGAAGTATTCGTTTTGAAGGAGTGTTCCCGTTCGGCTTCGAGCTAATTTCAGTTTTTACTCGAATTCGACTGAGTTTTTAGGAGGTCTGGTTTGAGTAGAACTTTGTCTAATTAAAATATTGTTTGATGAAAACTTTAAAATGTTTCAAATTAACCTGTTGCAGTTTGCCTCGAACCATTTAAGATTTGGTTGAATCCAAACCATATTCGAATATGGCTTTAAAATCGAAGTTTCAATTAGAGAAAATTAAAAGTTTTAAAATTAGAAAGTATAGACAAGTTTTTATATATATGTTGTATAATATTTAACAAATATAAATAAACATTTACCGAAAAATAATTTAGCAATAATTTTTTTAATTAATTCTATGTTTTTTGGTATAAATATTTAAAGTTAAATACATTTAAGTACACATTTATAAAAAATATTTACCTCTCATATACTTTATATTTTTAAGAAAAAATGTATGTTTACCTCCCTGACATTCCATTCCCATTTCTATTCTATTGTTGCTTGTGAGTGATTCCCTGCTCCCTGCTCGGGGTCCTATTGAATTGAATTTTAAATAAATGTTTCGGCCACCATTTGTTACAAACAATCACTGGGTGGCGGCTTTTCGTCGGATGGCGATGGACCCGATACCGAAACCATGGGTAAATTATTTAATTTTGGTGTTATACTCCTCAGTTTTAATGCCTTAGGACTACTGTGAGCTGATGATAGCACCGGCGATGCTGTTGAAGAACGTTGACGCACGAGGACACGCGGTCTACTCACGACTGTCGTCGCTGTGTTAATGACGGATGGTGGTGCTGGCAATGGCGCCGGATGACTTGGCATTGGATCTATGGATATTGAAACCAATTCTTCGACTGTATCGGCTGAATCGTGGGAAGCTGAATTGAAGGACAGGGTATTGGCTGCACTTAGGGGTGGTGCTGATCGGGCTGATGATGACGATGTTGGCGGTGGTGGTGGCGGGGCAGGTATGACAATTGTGGTTAATGCCGCTGCAGATTTTTGCTGTTCCGCTTCGCGTAGATGCGATGGAGGTGTCTCTATCGATATGCTGCCAACCACTTTGTTTGATGTCGTCACCGTGGCCGAGTGATTGAGCACACTGGTGGCTGCCAGCAGTTTTTCAACATTTGTTTTGAGCGCAACTACCGGATGATTTTCCACACTTCTTGAGCAATCATGCATTTCGATGCCGTTGTCGTTCTGGCCATCATTGTTGTCATCGGTGTGCCATTGGCGATTTTCGGCGAAACTTTTCTGTGGGTGGGAGAAATGAAAGGGAATAAGGTTATTAGGAAATTTGTTAAGAAAATTGAATTAATCCTGGAAATGCCATGTTAAGTATTTAAAATATTTTTAAAATTTATTCAAAAACTGAAACAAAGTGGTTTTGGACAGGTTTGACAAGGTTCGATATGAAGTTCATATCGAACCGCATTTAAAACGAGTTCTTTTAATATATCAGATTCGTTTCAAACCACACCCTAGTTTTAATCGAACTTAAAGGTGTATGGAGGAAACTATAAGGGAAAGGTATCCGAAAAAAGGCCCGATTATGTCTGCAGGACTTTTGGTATTGAAAATGGACCATATAGGTCCACGTTTTGGTATAGCTCTCATATAATGGCACCTCCCTATTTTTTAAGACATTATTCAACGGAAATGTTTCAAATTTGTTATATAAAGTTCGTAATGGATACTACAGCCTATGACAGAAAATTGTCCGTGCATGTCCACGCCTCGTATAGCCCCATATAACGGCACCCCCCGATATTCGGTATTTTGATGATTTTAGCGACATCATTCACCGAATTTTTGGTAATTGAAGTTCGTAATGGATACTACAGCCTATGACAGAAAACTGTCTGTGCAGGTCCACGTCTTCGTATAGCCCCCATATAACGTCACATCCCTATATTCGGTATTTTGGTGATTAAAGCGACATTTTCACTGGAAATGTTTCAAATTTGGTATTTGGAGTTCATAAAGAATACAGACTATGACAGAAAATTGTCTGTGCAGGTCCACGTTTTGGTATAGCCCCAATATAATGGTACCTCCCTATATTCGGTATTTTGATGATTTTAGCTACATTATTTACCGATATTTTTCAAGTATCGCATTTGAATATTGTAATGGCTGATGACAAAAGTTGCTTATGCAGGTCCACGTCGTCGTATAGACCCTAATATAACTGCTAACGGATTTATTTAACGGATTGTATTTTTTGAAAATTCCCAAATTCATTCCAAATGGTGAAGTGTACTCAAAGTTCGGCCCGGCCGTACATTTTTTACTTGTTATCCTTCGAAATGTTGACTTTTTGTGGGCAAGAAATGGATCGATTATTTCGATTTTCACACCTGGCCAGGTCCTGAAGGTATGAAAAGTTTTAAATAAGTCATCGAATTGGATCTAATTTTATAAACCAGACTCCCTTCTACAGACATTGCGGTCTGAGTGAAACAGACCTCGTTCGAAGCGAAATGGGGTCCAAACCTGTTATTTCGATGATACTCATCTTGTTATTTTTACTCGCTAGTGAGCAGGAGTGTTCGAAGGGTAGGATTTTTACTCGAAATTTACTCTCTGCTCTTTTGGTTTATGGGGGACTCTTGCTGGAAAAAAGAGTGGGAGTCAAAATTTCGAAATGGAGTAGGTGTTTGCTCTGAGAGTGAAATCGACAATAATAGAATTTGCTCCAGTTCGAGCGGATGTTACTCTCACTCGAATAGAAGCAAAGACTACTCGATCTTATTCGGGTGGCATAGAAAAATCGAGCATACTCTTGTTTTATACTTGCAGGAGTACTCCAGCTTGAATTCGAGCGAAATTTACTCTTTACTTTAATGCGAGCGGGAATTTCGGAGCTATGTCTACCCCTTTATTAGCCATGAGGTTGGGAATATAAAAGTTTACAAATAAAAAACGGAATAATAGAAACTTAAAGGAGAGTATTTGGCATTAATAGAATCTGCCCCATTTCGAGAGGATTTTACTCCCACTCGAATAGAAGCAAAGACTACTCGATCTTATTCGGGAGACATAGAAAAATAGAGCATACTCGATACAGCTCACAATATTTTACGTCAAAATTTAGCAGAACAATTTATATTGTGTCTAGGATGGTTGGTATTGAAAATGAAATATATAGGTACACGTTTTGGTATAGTCCCGATATAACGGTACCTCCCGATATTCGGTATTTTGATGATTTTTGCCACATTTTTTCTCCGATTTGTCTGAAAATTGGTATTTGTAGGTCATAATGGGCCCTAGTTCGTATGGCAAAACATTTTAGGTATATGTCCACACTTTGGCATATCCCCCACTTTATTGGTACCTCCCGATTTTCGGTATTTTGATGATTTTTGTCATATTTTTCCACGGATTTGTCTAAAAATTGCTATTTGTTGGTCATAATTGGTTCTAGTTCCGATGGCAAAACATTACATGTATAGGTCCACGTTTTGGTTAAGCCCCCATATACCGTTACCTCCCGATATTCGGTTTTTTTAATGGTTTTTGTCACATTTTCCACGGATTTGTCTAAAAATTGTTATTTGCTGGTGATTATGGGTTCTAGCTCCGGCGGCAAAACATTGTATGTATGGGTCCACTTTTTTGGTATAGCTCCAATATAACGGTACCCCTCGATATTCGGTATTTTGATGATTTTTGCCACATTTTACCACGAATATGTCTAATAATTTGTATTTGTGGTAATAATGGGTTTTAATGTTTCCTTTACCCAAAGGTGGAGGATATTAAAAGTTCGACCCGGCCCGGTTATGTATCTATCTCTCGAAAAAATACCATATTTTTTCTTACTTCTTTTTCAGTTAATTTATATCGCAGGATATTTTTATGGTTTTCAAAAAAAAATATTTGTTATGTCAAAAATTATCAAAAGTATGGCGGGAAAAGGAAACAATAGAGGAATACACAGGATAATGGATTGTAGAGGGAAAGGTAGTATACAAAGGATATTTTTCGGTTTGCATAGATATCGCCTCACTCTCTTGTTTACCTTTCGTCCATTATCTGTTATATTCTCGGCACTTTTCGCTTTGCGACACAAAACACTTTGTGATCCATGGCGGCGCAGGAACTCTATCGAGTCGAATCCACGGCCTTCGGAGGATACAAAAATGGCGGAATTGATGCGGCTGCGTGTTATGCGCTCGGATATGGAGGCTGAATGTTCCTCCTGAAAGACATGGAAGTGCTAGAAAAATTAAAGACAACAACAACAAATGACAGTTTGTTAATTTTACACATAGACACCGAATGAATCACAGGTCAAACAGCTGCACCGGGGTATATGGATGGGTGTGTGTGTGGGAGTGTGTTCATGTGGAGACAATTATCAAGTGTGGGTGTGTGTGTGCAACTGTTTGTTCCACTAATTAAAAAAAATCACATTAATTTCTACATTTAATTTGTTTATAACTAAATAATTATGTTTTCTGGGAAAACTAAAAGGAAAACATGATAAGGACGACATCGAATCTTTAAGGTGACTGATGTTGGTTGCTTGATTGATTGCTTACACGACTACAATGCAGAGGTTGATAGGCTAGTGCTCCACAGTCGCTGCTATCGAACTGTAAAAAAGAGACAACAACAATAAGAGAAGAGAACGGAGACGTTGAGAGAAAAAGAAAAAAAAAAGAGAAGACAAAAGGACAACAGGAGAAAAAGGACGAATTATTTAATACAATTTGTTCCTAAGACAGAAACGCACACACACATAAATAAATCTAAAGGCCATTAGAAATGTTGTTTTTATACTCTGCCCTCCTGCTAATGGCCTGGACAATGTTTTCTTCAATTTTGCATAATTGAATAAAATCGCTTTTTTCTGTTCACTGCTGACACACATTACAAATTCAATGTTTTGTGAAAGAAGTTTTTATTTTATTTTTCATTTTTGCATAAAACAAACATATAAGGCGTTTTGAATTGCTGTTGAGATAATTAATTAAATCAAGAATCGAAAATAAAGGCAAATAACTTGAATTGAATTCAAAAACGTAAGCCACCATTCATTAAAAGCTGTGAATCTGTTGTTTGTTTGTTTTGTTGTAGATGTACATGTAAGGGTGTTGGTGGTTTTTTTTTTGTTTGTTTCCAGACTGAGCTGCATAAAACCAGAATCTGTCTGTCATTGCGAAATTCATTTTGACGGTTTGGCACTACAAACAAAAGAAGGACAAGACTAACAGCAACATAAAACAGGGTGAATTAATTAATTTCAATTTTAAATTAAAATAAGTGACATTTGGGACATGTCAGAATCTTGCAAATATTAAAATTTAAATTATAAAAAAGCTAACAAAAAAATACATTATTATAATTACTTGTGAAAAATATTTAAATAATAAATATTTAAATAAGAATATTAATTTGGAATATCTAAACTTAATTTGTAACTCTTAATAATCTAAAAACTTTTATTTATTAGATATATGCATAGAATATTTATCCCCCGATTCGAAATGGAAATTATTTTATAGATGCAGGAACAACTGTAGTTTAGTAAGAACTCTCGAATTTGTTTGATTTTTTCCAGATGTAGATATTTTTGGATTAGGACAGGATTACAGGATAGTATTTCTTTCTTGGGGATTGCCCCAGATTCACGGATATTTGACCTAAAAGTCTGGGTCCGAAATCCGGGTTAGACCTACTAAAGCTAATGACAATACCTACCCAATATTTGGTCACATTATGGGGTTCTTTGATACGGTTCGGAAATTGTATCAATTCTTTTTTGATTTTTTGTACCTCGATTTTTTACAAATTTCAGGAAAAGTCGAAAAAGGCTTCATTTTGGGTGTCCACAAAATGTATGTCAAAGTCTAGATTACACTATAAACAATGCTACAGTCCCGTATCTACAAAACCTATATTATCCATATCGGTTTTGTAGGTCTGGGTCTCAGACCCGTAATTCTGGGTCAAATTAAAAAAAAAATAATTTCTCGGAATCAGCGCACAAATACCATCCTCTGGAAAACATTTCAATAAAACCGTCAGATTTTACTAACCTAGAGTCAAGTTAAAATTTCCACTCAAAGTAAAAATTCGCAGGCCATCCCAAATACCTCAGATGTTGAAATATCAGTCGCAATGATTTATATATAAACACCTTGAAGACCGATTTTTTTATAAAATAAAAAAAAAACAGTTAAAAAATTGTGGCATCACAATGACCTATTCTGTTTTTGTTAAAAAGGTCTCAGATTTTGAGGAAACTTTTTTCCTTAATTTCTATTTTCTTACAAAATTGTAATTTTCCCTAAGACATGGGAACTGCTTGTTTATTGGGAAAATGTGGTATATTTTCTTTTTATACCCTCCACTATAGAGCTTTGACGTAGAAACTTGGAATTGTGGGATTAGAATAGATAACAAGGAATATGGGTCTAAATTATCTTTGAGCCTCCAAATAACGGTATCTCATTTTCCAACGGAATTTGGCATTGAGAGATCGCAGATAGAGCCCATACCTCCATTGGCAGAACATTACCTATGCAGGTCCATGTTTTTTTCTATTGCCCCTATATTCAGTATTTTAATAATTAAGTCTATTTGTTTTCGAAGTTGTTTCAATGTTTGGAATTTGCAATAGAGTGTAGTCCTCTAGCAAAAAAATTATTGAATTTTAAGGAGATTACTTCAAGTAAAAATGGTACTTGTTCGAATGTTAAGCCCCGATAATTTTATTCACAAAGATTTTCTTTATCTCTTTTTTACCTGTTTTTCTTTTTCATTTATTTCTGATCGCTCATTTTTAAATTATCAGAGAAGGTTATATCCACAATATATACATTTTTAATCTGCTGTCTTTTAAAATCACGACAGAGCTGAAATTTTTTCTACAACGAATTGACATTTGGCAAAAATGCCGATATAATTAATAGGATATTTGGTGTTGGTCCCGGGAATTTGAAGTGTCTGTTCATATGCAGAAATTGTATCACCTCACTTTAGATATTTTGAAGTACTTTTGATTTTTTAAAACGAATAAGTGAAAAAAAAACTTGATGTCTTCAAATCTTAATGGGTATAAGATATCCTTGTTTCTTTTTCAAAATAGAATCACTTTTAGAACCCACTTTTTGAAACCCCACATTTAGAAGCTACTGGTCGCATTTGCAAAGAAATTGAATTTAAATTCCGTAATCTTGCCTTTTTGTCATATTACCCGTATAAACGTAATCCTCAAATGTATATATTTTGAAGGTTTGACCTGCATTATGAAACTAATTTGCTTATAGTTTATGTTTTTCTCTGGGTGGAGATATACAAACTAGGAGTTATTTGTCATTAAGGCTACAGAGGGTACAACTCCTCAGGAACGAGTGCTGATTTTGTTTTCTTCTCAGCAAATTTCTAACATTTAAAAAAAATTAACCATATGTGTCCATTCCTTTTGAGGATATCATTAATGAAAATAGGTCTCATAAAGTGCGAAATAATGTGCCGATTTTTTAAGATTGGCACATGCTATTATAATACACTCTACTATACTGCTGTGCCGTATTCGTCATCATAATGACGCTTTGCTTTATCTACTCATCTTTATAAGATATCGTCTATTCGCACTCTCTTCACTTTTGATCTTTACTTAATGTTTCATTTCTATTTTATTTTTTTATTTTAAATATATAATTTTATATATTTTCTTAAAATCTTAAACCCCACCATAGGTCAGGTGGTTTTATTTCACCACCCCAAAAGTTTCTCTATTACATTTTTTTTATTAAAAACAATTTATTTAATGCAACTTTTTGTTGGCCATTTGTTTTAAGATTTCATTTCCATTTAATTAGTTTTGGAACAAACAAAACTTTGGACAAATATTTATACACAAAAAACAAAAGAAAATAACGAGAAACAGACAACAAATTTTAAACTGTCATCCAAAACAAAAACAGAAAGGCCTTAATATAAAACAAATTAGGCAAAGTTGAGTGTGTAACATAAACGGTTGAGAGAGAGCGAGGTTGGGGGATAAAGAATAAAATAGCTACGAATGTTAGTATAAAGCATTTGTATGGGACAATGGACAAGTGTTAGTAGTGTTTTTTTTGTGCGAAAAAAGCATATAAATATGGTATTTAATGCCTAGGTAATTCTCCTTAATTAAAGAGAATTTAGAGAGTCTTGAATTCAGATAAAACACAACAAAAGAAACTATTCAGCAAAACTTAAAGTCAACGGCAAATTAAGAGGTTGAACAACCGTAAAGAGTAAGAGAACAAAATCACATGAGGACAAATCACAATTTGTTGGTGTAGGTAACTGCAAGTGGCATTGAGAGTGAAAGAGATAGGCCGAGAGAGAGAGAGAGTGAAAGTGTGGTGGTGAGGTGAGTAGCTCTACTTGTTTACAATGGTGTTGACTGATCTCAAGTCCTTTTACGAGTTGTGATTGACTGATTGTTTGTGGCTGTTGCTGCTGGTGTGAAATGCATGTGTCGGTGTGGCTGTGTATTTGTGTTTACTGTGCTCATGAGTTTTACTACATACATTGTTGGTGTGGTGTAGTTCATTGCAAATTTTTTTATTGAGTGCATCACATTCGCTGACTCTTTTTTTTGGGGGAAAACTTTGGGTGTCTCTGAATGCTCTTGTTTTGATTGGGTGATTTGAGAATGGATTATCTAAACGCTTTCTAATTCTTAAAAAAACAATAGCTGTAATTTATTTTCAATATGTTACAATAGGCGTTCATTCTCTTGGGTGCTCTGGGGTGGTAGAATGAATGAATGGTAGTGTTTTTGTGCGAACTATTTATTTAGTTTTTGCTTTTTGACTTTTCCACAAACTGGCTTTACAAGGACAATGACAAATGCTACAATTTCAGACAATCATTTTGTTTTTTTTTTGGTTTTGCTCTAATTTCTGGCCGTTTTGCAAACACACCACACATCAAAGTACACAATTTCAAGTTTGGACCAAAAACAGCAGCAGTGGTGGTAGATGTGGACGACACAAGCTTCTAGAAGACAAAACTCTATTCCAACTTACACTGAAACGATCGAGCGTTGAGGGATTCGTTGCTAGATTTAGGGTGCTTGTGTTCGTTGTTCGTATGGTATCGCTGGCCGCCATACTGTGATATTTGGCATGCTGCGACGAGTCACGACTGTCGCGTGAATCCTCGCGGGAACGTTCGGCACATGAGTACTGACGCCGATACTGGCGGCGGCGACGGAATGCAGTGGTATTCGTTGGATGGGCATTATAGTCAATGGTACAGATGGGCGATGGCGGCGGCAGGACCCGCATGTAGCAGGGGTCATAGCTGAACTGACGCCGACGCCACTGTTCATATTGGCGATAGTGGCTGAAGAGTCTTCGCTTTCGCAAAATCAATTGTTTTTTGGCCTCTAATAGTTCCTGGTCTTCATTGGGTGTGGTGTTGTTATCCTGGGAATTCTTAAGGATGCTACGTTGTGTGGCAAATTTCTTTTGGCGCAAACGATGGTAGTGGTGGTGATAGTCCCCTCCGCCGCCGCCACCACCACCGCCTTTGGGTAATCGATTTTGATTCATGGCCGGCAGACTACGATGGCGAGGCTCACGTTCCAGCAAACGATTGTCTTCACCCTCACGGTCCGAGGCAGCCGTGGAGGTGGCTCCCTCGCCGGCATCGCGACCATCCTCTGTCTCCGGCTCCTGGGGACTGGACGAACTGATGGCCATGGCTTGGCTGTCGACACTGGCGACTCGTCGATAGCCCTCCGATGGCGATATTGATTCACCGCCATCGGCCATCGCTGGTTGCTAGCTTTCCACATCGGCCACCTTGTGCAGCAGGGCAAATTGGCAGCCACAGTCACGCTCCAACTCACGCCGGGGATACTGAAAACAGCGATCAAAAATGCCACAGCCCTCACAGCGAGGCAAACACTAAATAGGTCATATTCAGCAAGTAGTTGTAGTTGTACGAAAGGAGTAGGAAGGGAGAACAAGAAAAAATCCACAAAAAGAAGACGTTGGCATAAAAATATAGTTTCTCTTCATTTGTTTGAAAGTTTTTTTTTTTATTTTTTATTAAGTAATAGTTGAAGTAGTAGTGGTAGTAGGAAAAGTAGTAGCAGTAGTAAAAAATGGTAGCAATTTTAAATTCTTATTACGGGGAGGTGGGGAAAGACGATTTATTAGTGGGACATTCTCACAATATTTCAACGGAAAAATGAAAAAAAAAAGAAAACGAAAAAAAGTGAAGGCAACAAAAAATTGTCTCTCTAAGAGAAGCTTCATTTCATTCTAAAAATTCATCTAAAACTTAAATTTCATTAAAGTTACAGGCGGCTCCTCATTGAAGAAACAAAAGAAAGAAAAGAGAAACGCAAGAGGCAGAGGAGGGAGGAGCAGATGGTGAACTTAGCATTAGATTGTTAGTAGTGGTGAACAACAGTGGTAGAATTTGGTTTTCGGAGTGGGATTCATATGTTTTTTTTTTTCGGTGGCTGTCAATCATAATTACGGCATGCTTTTTTGGCTGCTTGCAGGATATTTTTTGGTTGGTCGACCATTTGGCCTTTAAGCTATTGCAAGGCAACAATGTGTGGAACAGAACAAAAACAAATCTTCGTATTTGTATACTTTTTCATTCTCTACAGTTGGATTTCTGAGTTTCATCATTTTTCATTGACTTAACTACTCTACCTTATTGGAATTCAGGCATTAAATAGCTGAATATGTAGGGGACTATGAGCGATGTTGAGGAAATGTGTGATTACATGAGCAGATAAGTGTTAGCTTGTATGTAGGAGTGTTGTGTTCGGCTATCAATGTGGATGAGAGTGTTTGTTCTATGAATTTTTGAGCAGGAATCAATTTTTTTTGTTTCTCTTAAAATATAAAATTTTTGACGTCACGGTGGCACAGTGGGATAAATGGTATTTGAATTCGATATTAAGTAGAAAGCAAAGTTGAAATTTTAGGAACAAAATGTTTCTTTTCCATCCCAGACAAATAAATATGGGTCCATAATTAAGTGACGTAACGTTAAAAGAGGTTTCCTCACAAGTCATAAATTCAGTAGGACATTATGTAAAAATATTCTGAATATACAACATTAAAAGCAGTTGAAAACTAAAGGATTGCACCACTTCAATAACCATTTTTGTGATCTGGTTAGATTTTCCAATTAAATTTTGTCTTTAAATTTTGAAGTAGATTCGAGTTTTATTTGTCAAATTGAAGGACACCTGGTGGTGGATAACAAAATAATCGAATTTTTGGACCAGGTTTTTAATGAAAACCCTCCAAAACCGAAATCCTTAAAATGTACACCAATTTTTTCAGGACACTCCTAGCTTTCCGGAATGATACTATGTCTATATAAGACTTTCGGTTGAAATTCTACAATAAAATTAAAAATAACCATCCTTGAGAAGGCCTTAAAAAATCGAAGAATTTTTGCTAAAATAGAGTTTCTTCGGAGTATGTTTCATTCGTGTGTTAAAAACGAGCTAATCCGGTCCCGGTCTGTCCCTTAAAAAAAAAGTATTTTCCAATAATAGCGTTAAACATAGCTAACTTTGGAGAAAGTGTCAAAAAATCGAATAGTTTTAAATAAACTAGAGTTGTTTCATAGCATATTTCTGTCGTGAGTAAAAACGATCAAATCTGCTAGGTCCTCAAGTTTTGTGAACCGACTTGGAAGTTATTGCAAAATAATCCTTTTTTTTGGAACCGTTTTTTAATAAAATCTTTCAAAAGTGAAAAATATATATTAAATTTTAGCTGAAATTCGAACCTTCCTAAAATTCTACAATGCCAATATCGGATTTCTCGATCAAATATCCGGTCCCGGTCCGTCCACCAAGAAAAAAAATACTTTAAAAATAACTATCTTTGGAAAAAGTGTTAACGAAATTCGAAGAGTTATTTTCGGGTGAGTTATACTCGCGAGTAAAAAGTAGTACATTTAAGTTCCGCTATTTGGACTGAGGGTATTATCTGCATTTGTTTGTAACTTGGAGAAGGAAGCGAGAGAATCACTTTCTGAGTCGATTTATACATGTCAGTCCGTCCGTCTGTCTGTCTGTCCATGTATTTTTGAGAACCAACTGCAGGTCGCATTTACTATCCAATTGAGATGAAATTTTCCAAACAATATTTGTTTGGCCCAAGGACGAACCCTATTGAAGTTGGTGAGAATCGATTTAAGTTAAGTTATAGCTCCCATATATATCTTTTGCCGATTTCGGGTTAATTGTGCACCAAATGGCTAATATCAGTTCCAATGACCTGAATTTTGGCACATCTGACTAAATTCGGTCTAGCAGTAAGTACATCAAATTTGGTGATAAGCGGTTCAGATATATCTATAGCTTTCATATATAAGTTTAATCCGATTTGATCTTTAAGTTACATTCGGAATGATATTTGGTTTTAGATATCTTATTGAGCTGGGAAAGACCTTTGCCAAATTTTATCGATATCGGCTCAGATTTGGATATAGCTCCCATATATTTTCATAATCTAATTTTAATAATGGCTAATATCAGCCCAAATGGAGTGATTTTCGGGACATATGTTTAGGTACAGCCCAGAATTACCTGTGTCAAATTTTATCAAGATCGGTTCAGATTTGGATATAGCTCTCATATACATCTTCAACCGATTTCGGGTTAATTGCGCACCAAATGGTCAATATTAGTCCAAATGACCTGAATTTTGACCTTATAGAGCTCGGAAATATCTTTGCCAAATTTTATCGAGATCGGCGCCGATTTGGATATAGCTCCCATACATATCCTTTATCCGATTTCAGGTTTATTGTGGAAATAATGGCTAATATCAGCCCTAATGGAGTGATTTGCGGGATTTATTTTTCCATTCTATAGCAGTATTTCTATATAGCAGTATTAATTGGTACAAAAGATAAAAATGTCTTAGTCAGGTTTGATGAAAATCGATTCAGAATTGCATATGCCTTTTATATATTAGTTCCCTCGAATTATAACTGTTCTAAAGCCAAAGAGTGAAAGGTGGAATGAAAAAAAATCCCAATATAAATTCTTTGGATAAGGGAGCTCTATTAAATATGTATAGTGGTATAGGGTATCATATAGTCGACCAGCCCTATTTTTGAATTTTCCTTACTGTTTTTTTTTTTTAATTTAAAACTATATTTCCCGATTATATATTAATTATTTCTATATTCTTTTTCTTTTAGGCGAAAGTACTTCTTAAAAAACGTCTAGGTAAGTCATTATTATACGAGTATGTATATTTTGAATAATGAATGTGTAATTCGTAATGTTAATTATACCTGATATACCTATATATAACCTTGTTGGCATTTGGAAGACATGGTGTCGTATAAGTTACGTCAATAATTATACGTCCTAGTGCAATTAATATTGCTTTTTTTAAATGTATGACAATTACCAACTGTGTTTTTGCTCGAAAAAATAATTAACAATTTGAAAAATATTTCAGGAGTTTAAAAGTGTAGCCCTGTACAGAAATGTATACAAATTAATATTTGATTCTGAAGGATTCCTTGTTTCCTTTTCTTGGTCCAAAATACAGGTTTCCGATACACGTTTTATGAATTGAATTTAGTTTCATTTCCTTATATTGAATTTTCTTGGAAGAAATAGCCATAATTTTGTACTAATTGTACCATAAAGTACAAATGCATTATCCTTTGACACAATTTGTATTCTTTTAGTGAAGATATTCAACTATTTTTCACTTCAAAGATTTGAAGATATTTATTTTTTGTTTTTAAAAAATCAATTATTGATAACACCACCACTGTGCAACAAATATCCACCTAGTCCATTATTGCTGTTGTTGGCATTTTATTTGCCGGGGTCTGACAAAGGAGGCCTGTGCCTACCACTACTACCGGCATAAAAACCAGCCATCTCGTCGTTCCCATGTTATGACAAGGAAGCACCCTCTTCACATTATGAATAGGCAATGATTTTAGTTAGTACTACAGTTTTGTTCGTGTATATAAAAATGTAATGCAATGATATGTATAATATGGAGTATGTGAGTGGGAGTGTGTATGTGTGTTCATGTGAAGGTAAGTGTATACCAGTGTATCTGTATATCAAGTTATGAATTATTCTATTTTATATATGGTATGGTATCGTACAGGCCAAAGATTTTCTACTTTTTTTCTTTTGGGTTTACCATTGTTTACTTTGGTAAGGTTATGGGTTTTTTGTTGGTTTATTGTTTGTTGGTGTTTTTGTTTTTTTATTCAAGGGTTTTTTATGTGAACTAATTTTGGGATAAACAGGGTTTCAATTTGTATTTTTTACTGGTGCAGAATGAAGTGGATTTTGGGAAAATATAAAATTTAAAATTTTTGAGTTATGAAAACCATTGTTTGAAAGATCTTAAATAGGCGATGGCGAATTGAAATACTCAGTTATAATACTAAATAGAAATAGAATCAAAAAAATAGAAATCATTATTTTTACAAAGGTATGTCGCTCGAAATAAGTCCTTAATTTGGGGCAAAATAAGCAAAAATATAGATGTACTTATACCAGGATTTTGTATATCCTCAGCCATATTGCTACAGAGGGTTTTTTTATCATTTGATACGGCCAAAACGTGCCTCAAGGAAATAACGATTTTAGACCCAGGTATCTTTGGATCAAATCCATTTCAGGACATTTGGAGTCGATTTGATATGGCCAAAACGTGCCTCATCGTCTCTTTGGACCAAATCCGTTTCAGGACATTTGGAATCGATTTAGCGATGTCCGTCCGTTTGTATGCCTGTCTGGCTTGTTTGTTCGCACGAAATTAAGAGAGAATCCGTTTTGGCCCAAACTTGGTACATCGTAATATTATTGTCAAACTTAGATCGAGTTCGGAGATGAGCAACATCGGTTCACTCCTTCTGGTACCTCCACCACAAAAGG